GAGCTCATGAAAGCATAAATTTATGCAATTCTGCTGCAAGGGTATTATCTCTCACAGAGAAATCAAGCACATAGCTTGGGGATGTAACTACTCAATCATCACCTCAAGTTTTGCATTTCAAGCATAACTTTGAGCCAATTTTATTCATGGAATTGACTGCTGAAATTCATTTTGGTCAGATCTACTTTGGGTTAGCTTAGATCACAAAGGGTATGAACACATAATAGCTTGCAACTGTGTTAAAGCTGTTCAAAAAGTTCTTAGGTTTCAGCTGAGGCACAGTAATTAATAACATGTATGTTACCCTAGGCAGCTGTAATATAGAGCCACCTCAGCTTGCACAAAGCCACTACTGAAGAGGATTTAAAAATTCAAATTATGCTCAGAAAAAGATTGCTTTCTCAGGGAATCAAACAACTCTAAGAACATTACTTCAACAAATTAAATTCAGGGAGCAGACAAGGCTGTGGATGTATCTTTTCCACCCTCAGTTTCTCATACAGCACAAGAAGAGCTTGACAGCATGGGGAGAACCCAAACTTTGATACACATGGAAGGGCCACTAACATTCTTTGGATTCAATCATATGACGGCAACAAGATCCCTGATTTATGGCTAAACACATAGGATTTTATCATGTACTGTTGCTTTAGGAAAACATTAGAAGACTTCCTAGAAAAAAGAACAGCTTATTTCCTGAAATATATCAAAAAGGCATCACATGAAGGAAAATAAAAAATGCGAAAATCAGACTTAGTAAACTATTTTGTTTTTGTTCTTTGCACCCTAGTTAGTTCTAATAACCACAAATTTAGTGCTGATATTGAGTATCAACATCCTGGGGAGTACAAAAATATACTGAACAAGCCAGTCATTTTCCTTTGGCAGGCTATTTAAATCTTTGGTTGTGAAAAGCATGCTGAGAATTTCATCCTGCTAATTTTATACACAATAAAAAGAGTTCCCTTTTCCACATCAGAGGAATTTGAAATTTTTTCCCCATTCTGTCTGTAAGATGGCCAAAGGTCATGGGATGGGACAAAGAACTGACATATACTTGAACTTTTCAGAATAATGCATTGAAGTCCTATACAGAGAAGCCTAGTAACTGAGAGCTTATTTCCTGCTCAGTTTACAGAGGAATGGAAATTTTCACAGGATACCTCCCTTTCAGAACAGAGCAGCCCCCACATCCACATCCAGTTATGATCTCTGAAAGCACAGAAACAAGCTGGCCATCAAAAATGAAAGCCTGACCACAGTGAAATTATTTTTGAGGAGGTAATTAATAAGGAACCATGGGAAAAGAAAAAACTTAGAAGGTCCAAGGAGTAAGCAGATACCAATGCAAAGAACAATGAGGCCAGGCAGGAGCACAGCAGGTGGAGGGACATGTTTTGGGTGAGAAGCTGGAGTGCCAGAAGGGACAGCAAGGAAGAGGAGGCTGTTTATTCACAGAGCAACAGCAGGGGTGCAGGGAGCATCTCACCAGCTGAATGTCAGAAATTATTGACTCAATTGCAATGAAAGAGTTTAGAAATTCATTTTCAGAGAGAGAAATAGATAGTTGCCATCTGCATCAGGTGATGATGTAATATTTCCCCAGTCAGGCATCATTCTGCAATAGCCCCTTGGCTGGACACTAGCTGAAGGCTGAGTGAATGAAGTGTGAGATTTCTCTGGGTGTGAGAACAATCTAATGGGTGAGAAAGCAAGCAGGAATAGTGCAACTTTCTGGAATGGATGAATTTTTTTCACTGTCATTTCCTGTATGTGCCTTTACAACTTTCATGGGTACTCTGCCATAGAGCCACAGACGAACAAAGTTACAAATATCTAGGAAAATGATACAGGGAGTTAAACAGCACAAGGAAATGACATTTTGCTATCATTTACCCTGATGAAAACCTAAGGCAACTCTGTTGAAGTTAGTAGGGTTATTCCAAATTCAGAGTACTATCCACTTTTGGGAAATACAATTCAACTCTTACAAATTAAAACAAATCAAAGTTTTCAGTCACCAGGTTTCAATTTTATTTGTGTTTCATGTGTTTGTGGGGGTGATGCAGCAGTCATAAAGCAACAGTTTCAAAGTTGCCAGGACATCTTGGTGAAAAAGAAAGGTAAAGAATGCAGATTAATTACTTTCATGATAAGAATCCAAGCAGATTTCGATCCCAAGTTGGGGCGTAAATGTGAATGGTACAAGAAATCAAACAGAAATCTGACTTTGCAGACCTGCCTTGTACTAAAGCATGCTGGGAATGAATCTTTTTAGGTGCACTGAGAAAAACAAATGCTTAATCAATAACCAAAATTCAAAATAAGCTGGCTAAATTCCAAGTATTTGTGGTTTTAATGACAACAAATTAAATTTATTATAAAACAACCTGGTCCTCATTTTTATACTTCTGTGCATTTACTAAATTGATTTGGGTTTTAATTTAACTAATTAATCTGTGGGGTGAAGGAAAATATGAATACTGTACCACTCCTAACCAGACATACTATTTATGCAATCTTCTTAAACCATGACCCACGATAATTGATAAAATATAAACATTTCCATTATGTCAAATTTAAGACTTCAAAGTCAAGGTAAGAAGATCAAACCAAAATTCATCTATCTACTCCCCTTCTTGTGTCCCTCTAGTCTGTGTTATTGGCTACCAAGAGAGCAGATGTGGCCCCAATAACCAGCTGGTGTGCTTCAGCCCTTAGCAGCTGGTCCTGTTCTATGTTGATGGCTTGCCAATGAGAACCATTGATCGGGCAGGTTTAGTTGGGGTTGCAGGTGTTTGATGGAGCTATTGTTAGAGAATAAGATGAGGGTGTGAGTAGGTTATAAAGACTACTCTGTCTGCCTTCTAAAGCTCTCTTCCTCCTTCATCTTTTGGGAGGGGAGGAATTGGATTGTGGCTTTCCCTAAAAATTAAGGTAAAAAAAGATGACTGATCTGCTTTGAGGGCGGAAGTTTAGGTTTGAATTGCCCAAGACTGGTTGGTGTTGGTTATGGTAATAGCTGTGTAAGTCAGTGTTTTCTCAACACCTTATATTTATATGGATTGTCTTTAAAACTAAGGTTTGTTTGATGTATCCCAAGAGAGATCCTAAACATACAGAAATGCTGTTTTCTGGGTGTCTTTATGGAAACAGTTGTCCTATTGAAAGAAGAGATGGTGCTACTTGCACTAAAAAGGCTGCACTCTGTTCTGTGTAACTTAATATAATTTCCTAAGGGAAGTTCCAATATTATTTATGAATGTTCAGTGTGATTATTGGCAGTCACCTAAACAAAATTTGTTGAAAAGGCTTCAAAGACTGAAATGTTCTTAGTGTGTAGAACCTGGTGCACTCTCTGCCTTTGTTCTGTATGTAGTATATTAATATTTCTCCAAGCTGCTGTTCTTGTACAGTATATGATGTATACAGGTTTTATACTAAAACAGAGCTAAAACAAGAGGAAACTTTAATGCATGCTTTTAGAGAGCACTCACTAACAGCATATAATCTCTTCTTACCGGAAAAAGGGAAAAAAATTGATTCTCACAAGATGTGATATTTTGCCAAAGGCCTTGACTTCTCTAGCAATGTAATTCATTGTAAGCGATTTGCTTTTTACTCTTAAACTGCAAACACATTTCTATCAGGTTAGGTAGAATCTTCAAACTGGGTCTTAAGGAAATACTCAAGGCTTCTCTTTTTAAGACTACTTGGCCTTTGGGACCTGATTCAGCAGCTCAAGGACACATGGGGCTGGGAAGGGATGAATGGTTTGAAAAATATCAAAACACTTACCTGATTGGAATCTGATCACACTTTTGCTTCAGTATGCAAACATAAGTTTTATTTTAAGATAGGGAAGTCTTCTGTGATTGGGAAAATGGAGAGGGAGGTAGTAAAAAGGAGGGACTGAAAACACAAACTTGTGTCTGTCTTTAGAAGGTGCAGGCTTATTTCTCTTGTAAGCAGGGAAGGTAGCTTTCACAGCATAAATTAAGGTTTTAAAAGCTAAGCATCTAAGCCTAAGACACTATTATGTACACAAAACTTCAGTCTCTTGGTCTCCTTGGCACTCTTGATGCCTTTTATTCTAGACTCTACTGTACTAATTTACAAAATGTTCAAGAGATTAGATGTTATACGTTCTTATTTATCTGCTGGCTGCTGTAAGATTTTTTTGCAAAGTTTAAACTGTTCTCTTTTGCTCCTGCCTTCCATTTCTAGCCTCAGAGCTTTGGATGGGGAAGGTGAACAGCTTGCACTTGATATCGTCTAGTGTGGGTTTTTTGGCAGAAAAAAGCAGGAAAAAATGATAGTGTATCCTAATAGTTGAAAATAGTGTATGATGGACTTGGCTGAGTTGTGAGGCACTTAAAACTGCCTCAGAACTTTTCTTTAAATGTTGGCCAGTTATAGGAGAGGCAGATCCTGTATGTGTCTGGATCTTTCCTTCTAAGATAGATATTTTGGTGAAAGGATTAGCACTTAGTTAATGCTATGTGGTGGTGCAAATAGTATTCACTCTTACTAGCTAAGGTGTAGGCTTCAGGAGCTCAGAAGATGTATGCTTTGAATGCTGAAATAAAGAAAGGAAAAGATAAGATGTGTAATCAGCAGTATCTGCTGGGATGCTACAGCTGTTGTATGAGTGGGCCATATGCACTGTTCTAGCAGTGTGCTGGTTACAATAGCTATCTTTTTCTTATCTTTTTCATGCAATACTTCCTTCTATTAGGAGAAGCAGGCTATCAGATTTTTTAGGAGAAAGCTAGTATGCATCCCTAGACTCTAGGTATGTCCAAATATGCACTTTAAAACCAATGTCTTGCTTAGACCACAAAGGCATGCCTGTAGTTACAGTATGGATGTTCCTCAAACAGAAGTGAACAGGTAAGCAGCATTAAATTGAGATATCTTCACTGAATGCTTCTGTTTTGTCCCCTTCAGGTTAAATGTGTAATGGTCTTTGAACAAGTGGATGTACAAACTCCCTAAAGATGTCTGTTCAAAGCCAGCACTGTGCCATCATTATGAACCCTCCTCCACCAGAGTACATAAATAACAAAAGTAGTGGATGTCAAACAAACCAGCTTCAGTACTTACAGAGGGTGGTCATGAGAGCCTTGTGGAGACACAACTTTTCCTGGCCGTTTCACCAGCCTGTCGATGCAGCAGCACTGAATCTGCCTGTAAGAACCATTTTGGAACTGCAGTATTAATATGTAAATTATGTCAAATAATGTTAGAAAGATTTTTTTCTAATGCAACAGATTATGGAAGACTATTTTTGCTATTGAACTGCTGTCATTAATCGAAGTCTACAAGAAAAGTGTTTTCTTTCTAGAGAAATGCTGCCAGGGATAAAGTATTTCGACAGCAATTGTGAAAACTTGGCAGCTTCTTTTTGTTAGTGAGAGAGACTTTGTTGAAGTTTGGCTTCTTTTTCCTCTGTTCTATGAACTGGAGTGCTGCTTTGTGTAAATGGCTTTGAGACAACAAATGAGTGCATATACTTTTAATAAGTACTACTACCAATAGAGCTCTGGAGCCTCTTAAATATTCTTTGGGACTTTGAATGATATATGTTACATGGAAGAACAAGGACAAAATATAAGGTGAAGATATCCTGAACACCTACATTTTTGGTACCTATGACTATAGGGGAAGGTTTTCCTTTAAATTAAATACTGCTTCTAATATAACACAATTCTCTCTTGCAAATTAGGTTTCATAACTAAATGTGTAAAAATCTTCCTGTCCTAATATTAAGATATGTTTGGTGACTTATTCTTTCAATACCACAGGATTATTACACTATCATAAAAAAACCTATGGATTTAGGCACCATAAAAAAGCGACTGGAACACAATTACTACACAAAAGCTGCAGAATGTATTGAAGACTTTAAAACTATGTTCTGGAATTGCTACATGTACAACAAGGTATGTGGAACACCAACTCTTACCAGTAACTGGTTCTGTTGAATAATACAAACAAATCTAAAACAAGCACATGGTTATTAGAATATGCAGTAAGTTAGTTGACATTTCATTATTGTTTTGAAACTATTTTTTCTGAAGTGTTGGGGATGTTTTTTAATCTGGGATTGACTGAGGACACATAAGTGAAGTCTTGCTTGCTGTTCCAGCAACTGAGTGTATAGCTTTTTCTGCACAAGGACTCCACATCCAAAATCTCTGGGGTTTGGCTGCAGAGCTCATGAACAGCAAGCACTATGTCACTGCTGTACAAGTCCAAGGCTAGCAACCCTGAGCCATGCTCTGTTCCTTCAACAAGTTCAACCTAATGAAGTATGATCATCTCCCTGTTCTTGGATATTTGTTGGCTGTGTCTTGGTATCTTTGAGCTTCAACAGCTTCTTCAGAGCACAGGATTAATAAGGGAGTTGCACATCTGGCCCCTTGGGTTTTTGCTGTAGAAGTATGCAGAGGTAAAGGAGAACTTTTCAATGGGACTGTGAGAGAAAGAGTATTTCAATAGTGAAGTAATTTGCTTTAAAGTGAGTTGCTGGAGCAGGGATGGCAATGATTTAAAGACCTCTCTGGTACTAGTGGCTTTTTTTGATGTGTTGGGGCAGAACTCTCTAGCCTGGTAGTTTTATAAGATAGCTCCCTTTACTGCAGCCTCTCCTTTACTGAATGGTATTTTGCAGCCAGGTGATGACATTGTGTTTATGGCTGAAGAATTAGAAAAAGTGTTTATGCAGAAAATAGCCCATATGCCACCAGAAGAGAGACCAGTGAGTCTCAAGAAAGGAAAGAGAAAAGGAAAGAAGGCAGAAGGTAAGGCCTTTATTGCATGCTGAATTTATAATATATTAAGCAAGCAGAACTGGAAACAGGGTATCTTATTTGTCACAACTCAACCCTGGAACAGTTTGGGTGTTTTCTACTCTTTCCAGAACAATCAGACAAATAACAATACTGCTATAAGGCTTTAGAATTATTTTTTTTTAATTCAAGTTCGTTTTTTAAGAAAAGGAACTGACTTCCGATTCAGTGACTGTCATGCTGCTCAGCATTGTGTTATATAAACTAATAGGTGTGAACATCTGTGGGAAGTAAACAGAGTAACAGCTGAAAAAGACATGAATAATCTAATCAGCCAAACCAAACAGAGAAAAACATTGGTCTAAATTGTTCTCAGATCTCAGCAGTGGAGATCTGTAATGCTGCTAAGCAATACATGCAGGTATTAACTATGCTTAGTAAACATGAACCTACATGATGCAGTCTGCACTCTTTGCTGCTTGGCCTTTGTGTTTGTAGAAAACAACTTGCTTTCCCTGGCAAGAACATTTTTACAATATACAGAATGTAGTATGATGCCTCTTTAATCTTTGGTCTGAAGTCAACCCACATTTTCTTAAAGCCAAGGAAGATGTAACTTGGCAGGATATTCTAGCTGAGGCACTAATGGTGTGAGCAGAGGAGGATACCAATGTTGCTGTAAGTAACAAACACTCTGGTTTGCATTTATTTATGGCATTCCTGTATAGGCTAGTGGTTATGTGGACAGCTGGTCAATTTGACCATGAAAGAAATTCAGTGAAACATTTAAGACTTAACTTCTAAAATTTCCTATATTAAAATAACCAGAAACATGGCAGCCCAAGCCTGGGATTTCAAATGAAGCAAGCACAACTGAGAAGCAAGCTGAAAGCGAGCAGCCTCCAGTGATGACTCAAGAGCGACAGCAGGTTACCCTGGCTCCTTTGTCTGCAGCCCAGCTGACTGCTTTAATGCCAGCTGCAGTCCCTATAACAAAAGTAAGTTTCCTCAAATAACTTTCAGAATGAAAGATATTGAAATTGCTCCTTCAGGCACTTATGGTGAAAGCAGTGGAGCCATGCTTATTGCTGTATGTTTTTGAAACTTTTGTTATCATAGGAGATAGTAAGAGATCTCTATTAGATCTTCAATGTCTCTGCTAAATACCTGGGCCAGTAGTAATTCTAGAAGTTAAACAGAAATTGGGATGATTGCTTGGCACATAATTTCTGATAAATGTGATTTTAAAATGTTGTTTTCAAAGAAAAGAAATTAAGATGATCATTCTTGAAGTGTATTGCTATATATACTTCTGTGGGCTTCACCTTGAGGATAATTGGTTTTAAACTACTAAAATAAAGATCTAAGTTCTATTTAATAATTTCTCATGCTTTTCTATGTAAATCAAATACTTGTTTCTTCAAAAATTAGCATGTTTGCTTAAACACTGTGTAACTAGCCTGGGAGGTGGTGTTTGTAGCTCACAAAGCAAATTCTTGTTACTTCAATCTGAGTTGTATGTGAACATCTGAAAAAATTCCTGTATTGACTTAGTTCTGGTTGTGCTCTTCCAATGAGGAATAGGCACTTTTGCCAGTCTCCCCTATAGTGTGTATTTACACTTCACCCACATGGAGTCTGAACACTACTGATGATAAAGCATGCATTATATGGCTTCCAAACCAAATACTACACAACTTAAAGAAAAAAAGAGATAAACCATTTACATAAGGCCCTCAACCAGGCCTAAATTAAATTGCAGTAGTTTGCCACCTTCCTGTGACTGTCAACTTGCAGGTAATTTCATAACCTGCCAGCTTTCTGGAATCTTCACAAATGGCCAAAATCTGAGCACAGCCTGGCCTGCAGTACATCTACTTCGTTCCTTTACATTTAAGATGGAGCTTGGTGTCCTAGGCTTGTAATACCTTGTTGGTTTTTAGTCTAAGCTTGTGGATTTGCTGAATTCTGCTCTGACTTCAATAGCTGTACATGTTCTTGTTTTGGGCTACCCACACAAAAGAATTTTCTAAAACTGACCATTCTCTTCCTGTTCTGGACACTTGTATATTTTTTCTTTTCTTAGGCAAAGAAAGGTGTGAAAAGGAAGGCTGACACTACAACTCCTACTACTTCAATAGTCACAGCAATTGGTCAATCTTCTGCAATGCTTAATGAGAGAAAAGCTGTTAAAGCATGTAGAGGTGAAAATGAATGTATGGTAACAAATAAATTTCTGAAGAGATCCTCAGATTCTCAACAGCCACCTGGAATTGTTAAAAAGATTCACTTGTCAGGACAACTAAAATATTGTAATGCAATACTTAAAGAAATGTTTTCAAAGAAACATGCAGCATATGCATGGCCTTTCATAAAACCTGTAGATGCAGCATCTTTCTCCACAGGGGTGAACCAAGCCATTGCCAAATGTCCTACAGACCTGGGCACCATTAAAGTAAGTATGTTTCTGGGGAAATTAGGCTATTTGTGTAATTACAAGGTTTTAAATGTGTCAGCTGAAAAGGTGCCATGAAAGCTGCTTTTTCAATGAAAGACACCACAACAGGCCTAGAAACCAGATGCATTTCTATTTCTCAAACTTAGCCAAAGTCACTAAAGAAAGTCTTGTGAGTCTCATTGTGACACACAGTGGCTAATCTACCTAATTGCTGAAAAAGCTAATATAAGTGGTGAGGGAATTGTGATCACCATGCAGCTCTTCCAAGCATGCCACATGTTAAATATCTGTCTGTAAGCACAGTGCTGTTGTTAATGCCCTATAAAACAAAATGAAATTCTGTCAACTCCTCCTCTTCCCTCAATCTCAATGTTCTTGAAGTGCCCTAGAACTTCTACACTGGATGTTTACATAACACATTTCACCTTTTTAGTGGGAAGCAACCATTCTAGATGGAGATATGTGGACAGCTCTCTGTGGATGCTGAGTGTATTTGTAGGGCGTAAAATATTTAGTCCAGTTAAGCTCCACTTTTGGGGAAATATTAAATTTTAATAGCTTACTGAATTATCTTGAAAACTGACTTGCACAATACAAAGGTTATTTCCCAATGTCTAGTCCATTTGTTTGACTCCAGCTGTTATGGAATAAGCTTCGTGTAAATACCATGTGTAGAATCAAAAACAGATGCTGAGTTCAGAACCAGATAAAACCACCCAAACATTGTTGTCTTGACCAAGTGCTGAAACTAGTACTACAAAGTCTTTCAGCAATTACAATTAAATCTGTTTAAAAGAGGAAAAAAAATCTCTTACTTTGTTAAAGAGACAATGTTGAAATGAGATGCAGGTATTTCCATAACATTTTTTATAATATTTACTGTCTTGATACAAGCTGAACCTGAATATATATGTTAAAATTCTTGTTCCTCCTTTCTTTCTGCTAGTTCATGGAGATACTGTATACTAAGTGTGCCTTTAATTTTCTTTTCCTGTAGAAGAAAATGGATAACTTTGAATATAATGATATACAAGAATTTGCTACAGATGTTAGATTAATGTTCATGAACTGCTACAAACGTAATTCTTCAGACCATGAAATAGTTGCTATGGCAAGAAAACTTCAGGTGAGTTATCTTTTAAGTCAGACTTGAAAAAGAATAGTTCATCTCATGGCCTGATGTAGAATCTACTGATATTACTGAAGTACTGTGTTGCTGTGTAGTTCTGCAAATAGTAGCTGCATAACACTTTCAGAAATCTGAAAAATATGCTGTTCCCAAACCTAACTCTTCAGGATGTTTTTGAAATGCACTTTGCTAAAATTCCTGATGAACCTGTTGCGAGTGATCATCTGCCACAGCCTGTGAGAGAAATGACAGAAGCATATTCCAGTGAAAGCAGTAATAACTCTTCAGAAGAAAAATCATCTGAAGATTCTGAAGAGGAGAGAAAAGTGAACCTCAAAAAGCTTCAGGAGCAAGTAAGCATTATTACTTATTGTCTGTGACTTAAGATCTCTCTAGTAATGTCACTTTCAATGATCTATTCCAAGACTTAGCAACAAAAATCAGTTTTTAAAAGGTTCTATTAACTTGTATTTTTAATACAGAATTTTAGTCCCATTTGGAAGCACTGCCAAATGTTAAGTGAATAGCGCCTCAACAAATACAAAGTGAGCAATGGTTCTACTACTCTTGCCTACCACTTCTTCAGAGGAATCTCAAAACTTCTTAAAAAATAAAAGCGTGTTCCTGTGGTATGAGAGCCTCCAGGCACTCCACATGTAGCTTAATGGCATATTCTTCCAACAGGGTCACTTCTTTCACATGGTCAAAAAGCATTGTTCCTACCCTCAGTCTCCTTTGAGCCATACATAGGCAAATTGTTAATTTCTTCTTCAAAAAGCTCAGTATGAGAGAGAAAAGAAGGTATCTCAAGCTAAGCAGTGAAGCAAAGCCATGCTTCATATTAGGAGTGGGATGGGTGTTACTTCTGCTTGAACATAATTTTTAACCTGTTGCTGCTGCATCTATAAACTCTGGGGAAAATTAGCATTTGTTCTGTTAGTGAAATGAGGGACAGTTTTCAGTCCTTGTCAGATTAGTATCATCAATTTATGAATGTAGGCACAAGGATGAACACAAGTGTACAAGCCAGCCTTTACAGTAGCGAGGTATTTCAGTGATTTCTAATCTCATCATCTGACCATCTTCTAATTCCTGAGGTTTAAACAAAGTTGTGTGAAGCTCTTCTCTGAAATTCTTAGCATTTCTGGGGAGGTGTGGGGGGGTGTTTTTTCCTGACAGAAAGCTGAAAAGCACATGCTGTTAGCAATGTTTGCATAAAATAAACAGTCCTGTGTCTTCTAGATGCATAATCTGTGACTGAGATACAATATGTAAAATGTTTGGGGAATAAATATAATTTGGAAAGCAGACATCCTATTAATATCCATTCAGCTGCCACTAATTTCCTGTGATATTCAGGACCAGTTTACTGTTCCTCCTACATTGCCCAAGATTATCAACATTCTGTGGGTTTTCTTGTTTTCTTTTTGGTTTTGATAGCTTAAAGCTCTTCACCAGCAGTTGTGGGTTTTGACCAAAGCATGCTTATCTAGACCAGGAAAGAAAAAAGGGAAGGCTAAAAGTGAGAAAAGAAAGAACAAGGAAAAAGCTGAAATAAAAAGCTTGATTCAAAAGAAGAAAAATCTGAAATACATGAAGAAATCTAAGAGAAAGCTCTCTTTAAACATGTAAGTGTGGGGAACTTGTGTGGGTGTCAAATTATTTTAAACTGCCGTTACTGCAGTACACTTTTTTCCTGCAGTCAATCAAAGAAAACCATGCAGCAGGTCTTGTTGGCACATAAGTCAGAAGATGAAGATGGTGCCAAACCTATGAATTATGATGAAAAACGACAGTTGAGTTTGGACATAAATAAACTCCCTGGAGATAAGCTTGGGAAAGTAGTCCATATAATACAGTCAAGAGAACCTGCACTGAGGAACTCTAACCCTGATGAGATAGAAATAGACTTTGAAACTTTAAATGCTTCAACACTCAGAGAACTAGAGAGATATGTAGCAACCTGTTTGAGGAAGAAACCAAGAATGCAGGGTATGTAGCATAAATGATGTTTTAAAAAACCATTAGATTTGCTTCCTGGTTTGCTTTCATGTTAACTTCTGTTTCACATGCAGCTAAAAACCCAACAAAGTCAAAAGAAGAACTTAATTTTGAGAGGAAACAAGAGTTAGAGAAGAGACTACTGGATGTCAATGGTCAACTAAACCCAAAGAGAGAGAGCTTCAAGAGTAATGTGGCTCTTACTTTTATTCATTTGCAATGGAAATAGCTTAAAGTGGAATTCTTCCCTTGGGCTTTAGTCCTGTTAGGTATCTGGAGCTTTTCTCCTCACAATAAGGTGGGGTCTTAAGTTTCCCACTGATAGTCTAAGGATTCTTTCTATGCTGACTGAGCTGAAGTCACAGCAGCAAATTTGGTCAGTTATTTATCCTGTCTAAAACAGTTTCCTTATTCCTGCACCTAATACTTTGTTACAAGTAAAGATGGTAACAGTTTCACAAATTAAGGGGCACTGAACAATTCCCCTATGCTAATATACGAAAACATGGTGGGGTGTGGAGGGTCACACAAACTATTTGATTGCAATTAACTTTCTGTGGTTTAGAGACACAAGAATAACCAATTCTAGTAATACTTGTTATATGGCAGTGTCATGCTAACAAAACCTGTATATCAGTGACAGGTGTGCTGTGTTATCTTAGACTTGAGAAAGTTTCCTAGGAGAAAAATTCAGTTTTTCAGGCAATAATGCTTTTCAAGATCAAAGCCAGAAATTCAGTGTGTACTTGAGCTGTACACTTACTGGTGGTTCTCATCAGGGGCTGAGAATGGATCAATGCAGCTGATGCTGCTATTCTAAGTCAAGCTGTTCCTCATTAAAATAGTGAGTGCTGTTATTGCCCTCCACTGGATATCTATTTAGCTCCTCTGTAAAATCAGCTGACATGATAGAAGCAGCTCTGGAAGACACAAGGACATGTGTACCCAGCATTAGCTCAGTCAAGTCTTCCTGTCTGGTATGCATAATGGCTTGAAAATATCCTACAAAGAAAATCTTAAGGAGCTGAAATCAATTATAAACTATATGTTGTGAGGACAGTCAAGAAGCTGCCTAGGAAATCTTTACAACTGGTATCTGGCTTCTTTACAAGAGCTAAATCTAGACTTGTGTCCAGGGAAACAGGTATCCCTGTAACTTCTCATTTTTGAAGCTTCCACAGAGAAAAACTTTGAAAAAGGTTTGACTCCAAAATCATCATAAGCTGAGTTAAATCAACCCTGCAGATGCAAAATAGTCAGATGGTGGGGAGGTGGCAAAAGATGGCAATTTTGGGAATGCATATGGCTAGGGAAGGAAGAGTTGGCTGTAGATAAAGAACTCTGCAGGCAAGTCTGGCAGCAGCAACGTGCACACAAACAGGCTCTTGACCACAGGAAAGTTTATGGGGGAAAATTGCTTGAATTGTGTCTTAATCTACTTCAGAATTGTAAACTGTGTGATTACAGCTTCTCCTTGGATATTTCATTCATTCAAGTAGCATGCTCCTGGTAAATCCCACTCCTCTCTCTCTAGAGGGAAGTCTTTGTTTTCAAGTCCACTGCTAAATGGACAGTAGAGAAGGAAGCGAAATACAATGAATTCTTGCATGGGAGAATAGACCCAACAAGGTTGATCACAGTCTTGTATAGGAAGAATGCTCCAGTGCAGGTTGTTCTGAATTCTTGCTTTTTCTCCTGCAGTTGAAAACAATGCTGAGTCAAGTACTGGGCCAAGCAGACTGAGTGACAGCAGCAGCAGCTCCTCAGATTCTGGCAGCAGCTCTAGCAGTGATTCTAGCTCCTCAGATAGCAGTGACTCTGAATCAGGTTAGAAAGTTTATTTTTGTGTTTGTGTAGGCAAAATATCTTCTCTCTTAGCATCTACTCTTCCACATGCTTACCAAGGATTTTAGTAATCTTTGGTTTGGTTCACTCCATTTTGAAGGCTTAATTCCAATGTTATGAAATGAAATGATGCCTTAATACTGTGATCCCATGGAACAGAAGACAACCAAATCCCCAGTACATCCATTCAATTTACCAGTGAAAATCTATAGGGACTAAAATAAGCTAGCAAAAGGTCTTTGTATCTAACCTGGACACTTGACTATAGGGCTATAGCTTACTCATGTAGCTTTGATCCCTTTTTGAAAGTGTGATTCACTTTATTTTCATCTTCTGGTCTGCACATGAAGGGTGACCTGAGCAAAACAAAAGTGCCTACAGCATTAACTGTAGAGGCAAAATCCACCCTGATGCTTAAAATGTTTCAAGTTTGTTTAAAGGATATTACAGCATGAGAGCACTGAATGATGTTTCTCTGTACACAGAACTTTTTGGTTTTCTAGGACAGAATATATCTGCCAAACTGGAGGTCTGCAGTGTAGATCTCCACATGAGGTATAGGGTGAGATGAATGCTCAACCCTCTGCAGTGTGGGAGGGAGCAAACACTGTGAATCAATGGCAATGGAGACCTTGATCCTGCAGCAATCTGTGGTCTCTTTTTATATCTGGGAGAAGTTCTCTAAACACATCAAGCTCAAGTCAAAGTATTCAAGATAAGAATGTTCCTTTCACTGTGAGGTTGACTCTAGGTACAACTGCAACTCACACCTTCTATGTGTGAATAATGAAACATATGTGAATGACTGATTTGGTTTTTTTCCATCCCCCTTTTTCTGCCCACCTCACTGTATTCACAGTTACAGAAACCTGTTCAAAACAGACTGGAGCCAGGCAGAACTGTCCAGCTTCTATGGGAAAATCTAAGGTAAATCTGCCTGGAATGGATATAATGATTTTGCCCTAAACAAATAACAAATTAACTATACAGATAATTTTGTTAAAGTTATTTTTTAACATACAGTGGTAATAGAAATGATGCAACTTCATCAGGAAATATGGCTTGAATGCTATTTTTTCTGTAGAACTGATTGTTATGAAGATGTCCCATGAGCTGTTTTTAAAAATACCTTATGCATCTATATAGGAACAGATATACTGGGAGGTTTTTATGTTTTATTATCATTGTAGTCATTATGTGTTTGATGAAGAAGGGCAGAATGCTCCAGGTATCCCACGCACCCCCAAAAAGGGCAAATAGTCTCCAAATGGATCTCTGAGTATAGAATTGACCTAACAAACAGTGTAATGTTTTTAATCTATTAATACCCTCACCTCTATGCCTGAAAATAAATACATTGTACACTTATTTTCAGGATACTTTAATGTTGCTTATTGTTATGGTATTATTGGAACCAACAGCAGTTTTATCTAGAAATAATTCTTAATGCCTCTTAGATTGAATTGCTCTATTTCTGTATTATACAGTGGGTGTTATTTCTTGTCAAGGTTAGCTGCCTTTAAGAATTTCCCTTGAAGCTACCAGAGACAGAGACCTTGAATTTCAAAGCAAAATCACAGCCAAACCTTCATTCTTCTTGCAAGAGACTGACTTTCCCTTAAAGTACAGAAAACTAGGCTGCAAATTTATTATTCAGCTGCTCCTTCTGCATCTTCATAAGCAAAGATTCAGGGAAGGAATTATGCAACACTCTCTTTTTGCTTAAGAGCTTCAGCCTCTGCAGTGACAGAATGACAGCAATAAACCGGAGAAAACAGGATCCAGGAAATGAGCTTCAGCTTGGTCAGTTGTAACAGCCCCTTACTGACCTTCTGAGTAGCAACAAACATACTTGAAATCCTCACATTACATTTTGTTCTCAGGGGTTTTCTGTATCTGTCAGACCAAGGCAGTGAGTGCACTTTACCTTGTGGCTTTTTGTCATCTGAATGCTTAGAAAATGATGGATCGGTATCACAATAAAGGGGTACTGAATCTGATAAACAGTGGAAATGAGCAGTGGTGGGAAAAGAGGATCAAATAACTATTAAAAAATTTTGGCTGTATTAACTACTGCAGTCTCTTTATAGAGAATACCACTTTGTTTACAGAGGACATCCTGCAATGCTGGTCTGCAAGCACAGCCCTCCTCTCTTACTAGCAGCCTGCAAATTCATGGATCATCTGAACTGCTGCAGCAACCTCCCAATGCACTGCAAATGCTTCAGTGTAGATCACTTAATCCATCAGAACAAAACATACAGACTCTCTCAGGTGATACCTTTATGCCTGTATTTGACTGCTGAGGAAAGGGGTTGTCAGGATGCCTGTATTGCCAAACAAGCTTATCTTGGAATTTTGGCACATGGATAACTGAAAAAGTTCTTGTAGGGTATGGATTACCAAAGAGCATGATGTAAATTAAGGATGGGAGCACTGAGGATTGACTAGGGGTTTCAGATTACTGGGACACTTGTGGTGGGGCAAAGTAGTATTAAAAAGAGGAGGTGTTCATGCTTCCTTCCAATGAGATGGAAAGGGATATCTTAATGAACTTGGAGTTACAGGGAGTGTTGAACACCTTGAGGCAGGATTAGAGGCTTAAACCCCTGCCCTCTACCCAAGTTCATGTCTGAAATGCCTCCTTGCTGAATGGAAGGCTTGGTGCCACAGGTCCTCTGAACTGAGTGTTGTTGTCTAGACACATCAGAATAATGAAGTTGCTTAGGAACTTGATCCAAGGAGCTATTTTCCCTCCCTCATTTAAAAAAGTCTAGTAGTGTTAGACACTACTGAGATTTTTGGTAGAAGACAGCATGAACTGGTAGCTGATTAACTGAGAAATCAATTAAAAACTAATTAAAAATAACTCTTAAATCACGTGGCTAGAATACATATCTCAATACTGACTTACTCGACAGATCTAAACAGTGACCTAATTTTGAGATGTAGGACTGCATTTTACATGACAGGGGAAAAATCATACCCTACTTCTTTCTCAGGTAAAATCTCAGCTGTACCTGCTCTGTGTGATGCTCCAGACCAGCAAACTCCTCAGAACACTCCAAAGACAAATCAGTCTTCTGTCACCCACTCCAGAAATGTTTTTCCAGAGGTGAATACGTGCTTCTCTCCAATTAATTAACTTCAAACAGCATCTGTAAAGCATGTTCTTAGCCTTGAAATAAGATGTAATACAGTACTTCAGGCTTGAATTTGATGCCATGAAGGCCATTTAAGGTTTACAACAAAAGTTTTCTAAAACCCCAGTAATAAAGTGATTCTTATCCTTTAACAGGGTAGTACTTCATTGCCTTTTTGCTGTAAAGGAAAGTTTGGCTGATCACATTTATAGTGTACTATAAAGCTTATTTTATTTCTTTTCAGGGCTATAGCTTGAACTTAAGTAACCCTTGCACACTTACAGGTTAAAAGTCCACCCTGTAAACCAAAATCTTTACAAAAGAGGCAGATTATAATATGTGTTTTGGTTTTGTAGAAATATCAATTTCACAAACTGAGCAATACTGAGGCTCTACTGGGAAAGCATGTTGCTTTTCATACCTTTTCCTAAAGGTATGGAAACTGGGAATGGTATGGAAACTGGGGCTTTCAGGGTCTAGATGAGGTTGTAAAATATTTAATGACTGTTGAGTTCTGTCTTAATATGTTCTTGGAGAGTATCCTGGTTAGAAGGGCCTCTGTGGAGCAAACGAAGTTATTGATGTTACTGCAGCATGATCACTTCCATCCTATGATGATTAATAATCCTCCTGAACATGGCTGGAAATTTAGTTGCTTTAATCAGGCTGTAATAGCTTTATTTTTGACAATGGATAGAAACTGCCTCTTGAATCTATGAGCACAGGAATGTGTCCTGCAAGTAAGGATGAAAAGCAGCTCACCCCTTCCTATTGGTGTCCACTGTCCAAGGTAGCAGGTAATGCAAATTGACTCAGTTTTGTGCAGCACTGTTCTTAGTTCAAGGGATTACTGCACAGAGTAATCTTGCATAGAGTAAAAATACCAAAAATACCCAAGATCAGTCACCCTTTACCCTGAGCTACAAGCAAGAGTGCAGCAACTGCCTTTATGACAACTTTATTCTGCTGTACCATGTTAAGGGTTAAAGATCTTGTATCAGTTTCTCATGCTCTACCCACTCCCATCACTTGGGATTGCTGAGCTGTGCATATTCTAAATCTGAAGTCTTGATTTATGAACTTGCTTTGTTTACCATAATATGAGTGAAATCTATTTCTTCCTTGGTGTTTACAGAAGCTAGAGCTGCAAGAATTTACTGCTCTAAGCTTCTAAACCTTTAATCCTGATGCTGTATAATAAGAATCCTCATATGCTAAACACAAGTAATATAAAGGATGTATTTTGAAGTCTAGCTTCTCTTCTAGGTGTCCAACACCATTTTTCAAGTTGACAGTGCTGACTGGAGTAAACAAGCTGAGCAAACAAGACATCTAGACAAATCAAATAAACTGCAAAACAAGACCAGCGTGAGAACTGCTGATTTAATATCTATAAGTCAAGAACAAAGTATGTAATGTCATAATAAAAACTGTGTAGCCATTATCAGGGTTGCAAAGTTAAAAATGCACAAGAAACTAGTTTAAAGAAATATCAAATATAATACCTTGTATATTATTCAGTTTACAGGATAATGGTTGGGTATGCAGTTTTCCCTTGCGCTTCCTTTTTTTATTTGCTGCTTAAAAACAAAAAAAAAAAGTGAAATTAAACTGAATTAAAATGTTTGGTTCTTGTTCTGTGTTAAAATATATAAAGAAAATTACTTTTTGATTTAAAAATTTAGCTTTCAGAATGTGGCACTAAGGATACATAAACCAGTAAACCATGAATTCTGAGAATTGATGATTCAATCTGTTGAACTTCACTTGCTTCTGAAATATCTTCTGCTGGAGTTTCATGGACCTCTTTTCCCAGAACACTTTGTGTGTATTTTGAGTTATTATCCTTGGCCCTTGGTGTCAAGGATCTGACAGCAAATCACTGTCAAAGAGACTTTCACTATGGAATAAACTTGCAATTATTACAAGAACATTGGCCCTCTGAAAGCTGCATTCTATACTTCATACATATTTCCAACTAAAGAATTGACTGAACATCCATGCTCTGTGTGTCCAGTATTGCCAGACATGATTGTTTTGGTTTCTCCTTTCCTCTTTGCCCTCTAGAACACCTAGAGAAGGAGGGAAGAAGCTTCTGAAAACTTGATGAAATTAAAAAGCAGAGCCCATTCACTGAAGAATTCTTAGTTTTGGCAAAGAATAATGCTAAACAGTTGCAGTGTATTAAAGCAATTCTAAAAATGGAGATTTGATTCTCCATGAATTTCTATTAATTTTAGGGTCTTAACACACCAAGCCATACATCTACTGCCCCCTTTTGCTTAGACTTGCAGCAGCTGGAATTGGTACATGGCCTCAGCTAAGATTTTTGCTGACAAAGTTTTGTGGCTCTGAGGTTTTTCTGAAAACCCCTTTAATGACAAACTGGCTGAGGGTTTGATACTTTGAATCCAGCATTTATTTGCATAATCTAAAAAAGAGTTACCTAAGTTTTTTTTATTAAGCATTTACATAAATAATGAAGCATCTCAAACGACACTAGAGGATTGCTGCTGAATGAGATAAAATGCATTGTTAATCTCTGGTTTGAAAATAGTGTTTGGGGGTTTTTTTCCCCCTCAAATAATAAAGAAGCAACAGCATGAAGTATTTGTATATCTGTAGGCTACTGGAAATGTGAGGACAAGCCCTTGATGGCTGACCTATCTGCTTTTAAAAAAAAGTAAATGGGGCTGAGAGCTATAGGTGAAGTGAGTTTGCATGATCAATCAGGTAATCCTAAAGCTGGAATCAAAAGGAAAGAGGGCTGGGTGGGAAGGGGAGGAAGTGACCAAGTAGCAAAGTGTTGTGTTGAGCTTTCCTGACCAAAGCTTTAAAGCATTCTGCTGGGACCTCTCCTAGAATTAACCAGGAGTTAATTTCTCATCTATAGTCGAGCTAGCTCTATACTTTTTCCTGCCCAAAAGTAGAGAGAAGTGGTCCAGGTCAACTTAAGCTTAGAAAATGCTTGGGAGAACTTCTGTCATTCTGAACTAAGTAATAAACTGCACTGTAAGCTTTTTAAGTCAATTCCTTGAAAGACTAAAGATTTATCATTTAAATTTGAGAAAGAATAGTCTATAAAATCAACATGATCAAAAAGTCTCTTTTCATTCGTCCATTAGGTTATTGTACACCCAATGATAAATCTAATGATAAAATCATACCACAGCCAATGTCTGAACTCCTTCCAAGAAAGGTAAGTGATGCTCAAGTTCTGTTTGAGAAGAGGCTGAATGTAGTTACTAGCTTGAATAACTCCCTGACCTAGATCTTCTCTAAAAGTCTGTTCTTTTACAAATAGAATATTAAGTATAAAATAGGCCTTTGTCATTGGTATAATCTGTACAGATTTATCTCATTTTTAGTGTTAAAACCAAACAAATGACTCTCTTCATTGCAGAAGGTAAAGCATGTAAGATACATACACACATGCACACAAATATATATTCAATATGCTCATGTTGCCTTACCAAAATATGGCTTGTTTCATCTAGTTTTAATATTTAAACAAGAAACTAGTGTTCCTTGATCTAGTTCTGATATCCAAGTTATTAGTGTGCTTTCCCTTACTGATCCAGTAAAAAAATAAGAGTAGTGTGGAATATAGTCTTGGTACTATTGGAAAACCTGTTCTCAAATAAGTCAAGGCACTTTTAATGACTGAAGATATTTATGACAGTTGAGCAAAATCTCTCCTGGCATACAGTAAGTTATCTTAATTGGAAGGACAGAGGGATTTTCTTATCTACTAAATTCTTCTCTTGTAATCAGCTAATTGAAAACATTAATTCAAAATTACTAATACTAGATCATGTCAACCTCTGGACCTAAAAAGTTTTCTATATCGTCTGTGGAACTAAAATGTTTCTAGGATTTTTCTTTAGGCACTTAGGTTTCAGGAAATTATTAACTAACATGTTGAATTCAATTCCAAAAATATGTATTTCCTTCATAAGCGCATGCTTCTACTAGAAGGAGGATTTCTTAAAAATGCTGGTTTTATTCTGATTTATGCTATGAAGAAAATGCTACAGGGGAACAAGCAAAACCCACAAGCCTAATATAAAACTATTGTTCTGTAAGGATTGTGTATAGAAATTAGATGGACCTCTGTATTAAAACCTTGTCAATGGACCTTGTATGAACTCAGCCCTGTGAATTCATGTTTTCTGAAATGCAGAAGTGGAGAGGTAGACTTAAATAGTCAGAATAGCTACAAAGGCCAACGTTTGTTGGTATATTGCCAAAGACTCTCAAAGTTGATGAGAAAGCACATTGAAATCTGCTCAGATTGCTGCATATGCACTAATATCCTGCTAAAGGAAAGATATTTTGGTGTAGATATTTCCAGCAGGCCTAGTCAAACAACATTGTGCTAATGTAAGAACTAAGCAGGTAAAGTAGTTGAAGAGTTTTTTTTTTTTTCCTCTTCTGTGTTTTCCTTTTTCTGATAACTTCAGGACACAGAACTCAAGACTGTAGATTCCTGGGTAAGCCTGTGTAAAACGATGAAGCTTCCAGCTCCAATAAAAGCATCTGCTGAGAGCTTCAATCAGTTCAGGGACGCAGTACTAAAGAGGAGTGGGCAAGTGCAGGAGTCAAAAAGGTCTCTTGGGCATGCTGAGAGGGAGCTGCAAAATCTTCCACAAGAAAACAAAAGATTTGTAACTACTTCTGTGTAAGTATTATTCTGGTTTTTGCCTGTATGATACTGGAGGGCTTAGTTATTCAGGGACAAGGAGTTTGGGTTAGGTAATTGCCACATGTCAGATGAAACTGGGGAACTGTACCATGCTAAGCAGAACTGCACATCCAAAATGCACAGAACAGCCTTTTCTCTTCAAATCAGTACTATTTCAGTAGGCAGAGAAACATCCCAGGAACTTCCTCCTTTGTTGTTGCTGTTAGTTTGCTTCTGGATTTTTTTTGTTGTTGTTTTTGTTGGTTTTTTGGGGGTTTTTTGGATGGAAGGGAGTTTGGATTTTGTTTGGGTACTAAGGTGAGAGGTTTTGGTGCCCTGGAGCACTCATGACCAGAGTTCGCATTTGTCCTATTTTCCTACACCTGTAGCCAGGAATGTCCTCAACTTAGTGCTCTCCTAGGGGGACACAGGAAAGATTAGTCTTTGAGAGCATGTTGTTAACATAGCTATAAAGGGGTTCCAGTGTGCATCACTTCATACAGCAGAATCCTTTCCATTGCTGTAGAAAAGCACCTTCCATAAGCCCCTGCTTCCCTGGCTGTTTGCAGCTCCAGTTTCAGGCAGTGCCCTGAGGTCTGTGGCCATGCTGAGTGGGATAAATGACTGCCTACTAATTACTGCATTGCAGTAATATCCTGGAGTTTGTTTGCCACCTTTTGGAAACTGTAATATTCCCCTCTCCACTAGTCTGGTTTTTTCCCCTTGCCTGTTTTACCCTGTGAAAGATAAATCTGAGCTGGTTCCTAAATTCTCCTGCACTTGCCCGTTGCTAGTTGTATTAGAATAAGTCAATTGGTTGGATTGTTTTATTTTAATAATCAGAGCATTTGAGAGACTTAAGAGTATATTCCTCATTCAGAAATTAGTGAAATCTACCTCAAATAACTAACTGAATAGGAAGAAGGTAGGAAAAAACCATCACAGGCCAAGAAAGCAACAGAAAATAAAGAATTTCAAAGCAAGCATATGTAAATTTTGTGTAGTATATCTATAAATCCTAAATGCATACAGATTAGAAATGGGACACTGGAAGCATGAACCTACTACAGCCCAAAATTGTGTTCACATAACTCTTGTGAAGGGAAATCACTTTGAAACAATGTGAAAGAGACCCTTTAAGTGCTAGGGTCTGATTTAAATTATTTGCAGAATTCTATCAGGTTGTTGAAAGAACTTTTATCCTATACTGATTTCCTCTCCTGTCTTTAAAGGGGCCCTGAAAGCACAGGATTGGATGCCATGGCAGTGACAGACTGTGAGCTTGAAAAAGAAATACCTAAGAGTAAACTGCCCGAAGCTCAACAACGTGTTCTTGATCAAGACCGTAACTTGGCTAGAAAAATGGAACAAGAACGCAGGAGGAAGGAAGCAGTAAGTTTCTGACTCTTGCTAAACTGTTTTATTTTTCAACTTTACTATAGAAGAAACAAATATTACATCAGGTCCTTATTTCAAATGATCTGAATGATTGAAAAGTTACTACCTGAAGAGTTAGTGCAGAAAATGCAATAGGAAACTCAAAGTATGTCTTCAAGTGGCATGATATGAAAAACTATCTGCTTGGTCCTAGTACTCCCATAAGTTTAGAATAAGAATAATTGTGTGGTAAAAAAATCTGAAGAGGAGTCCCTGCCCTCTAAATAATTTCAAACCTTGAGTGTTGCAAGCTGTCCATCCTCCTTAATGTGTTACATCTCACAAAAGTGCTAGTCCTACTGTTCTGGTGTGAAATACCACGCCTGAGCCTTTTTAAAACTAACTGGTTTTACTGGTGACAGTAATTAGTGTTTTCTAATTGCTACCTTTTTTAGATTGAACATTTTTAAAAAATTCATAGTGTTGTACAATGGAATGTAAGTACCAGTGTGCGACCATGCTGGATTCAGGTAAGTTCAACTGAAGCTTTCATCCTTCAGCTCTTTTCTGAGCGCTTCAACAACACACACACTCAAACTTGTCATAACAGAGAAGACACATTCATTTTTGAGAAGATGCTTTACAGTTTTCTCTTAAATCATTAAGTATTTGACCTGCATAGTATCCATTAATGTCTGACTGCTCTGAAAAGACACTTGTTTGCTTTCTTGCAGACAGCTTGGATAATTGATGTGAATCTGCAGAGAGATATTATGGCATCTTTCGAAGAATATCTTGATTGAAAGCAGTGGTTTATATAGAACTTCAAACTACTAAACCCAGCATAGTTTTGTACTAGTTAGGATCTTAAATATTAAGACCACTTTAAAGATCTTCTCTAAAATGCTTTGTATTAAAAACTTGTTCACTAATACCTGAAGTGTCACAAGGTTTATTTCTTTTCACTGCTTGTTTATAACATGTATTCTGTTCTGCTGAACAGTAGAATGGAGTTGTTCATTTGATTACAGTTTCATCTGTTGTTTATATCTGGTATTACAAAGAATCACTTTACTGTGACACACCTGTACAAAATCTGGGCTGTGACAAAAAGATCTCTCTAGAAGTGGTACTGTCTAAGGGAGGGGGTGTGTAACATTACTTGTAATCACAAAAAAACTTCCATGAACTCTTTAATTTCATCAGTAAATCTTATCTACTTGCAGGTATTTTAAGGTCCAGATGTGTTTAATGTATTTTATGTTAACATAACATTTAGCTAAGGGTGCAAACATGTTTGCCACATAGTTCTAGTTCTTCTCAGGAAGAAATTATGGCAAACTGGCTCCAGTTTGAAAGATTTTCTGATTGATACAAGATACTATTAGTGTTGAAAAATTTTCTGATAGAAACCAGAATGTGTAGTTTTTACATTCTTGTTGATTATATACAGGTATGGGAAATAAATATGGGATAAACAAAACATTGTTTTATGGAATTATTACCAAAACACAATGTGTATTACAGAAATGCTGGGTGGAAGGGGCCCCCTTCAGACAATCTAGTTTATAGTCTCCAAACCCTTTTTGCCATGTACCCCATAATTTAAATATTTTAAGCATAGACCCCAAGACATGTATATTTATTAATTTATAAATTATATACACATTATAAATATTTCACTGTACTAGTCTATTTTTTACATTACATTATAATATTTTTAATTTCTGTTTTATTTTTAACCCTGTTTATTTATTATTTTGTAATTTTAAAAATTGTATTCAATATTTTATTCCCACACTCCACTTTGGAGACTACTGATCTCATTGAGCCTCCTACTCAAAACTCTCTCCCAATAGAGAACTTCAATTTGTCAAGTTCCTGGATGAAAAGTGAAGGTAACACTGCCAATTGTGATGAGGTTCTACCACAAGCAACCAAACTAAGTAACCTAAGTGAACAAAACTTTCTACAAATAACTGAATTTTCAGAGAAGACAATAAATTGCTTCTAAATTCAAAAATGCCAGCTAAAGCATGCCCAAAAATGGTAGCCTAGTCTTTCAGGTAGCAGGCTGATGAGTTAGTGCTAGTTCAAATATATTTATTCAATATAGTCATGGATCTTCAAACTCTGCCATTGCTGGAATGGTATTATTTCATTCAATAGCACAAAGAGTGTGTATGACAAATGCTCAGATTGGGCCAGCACCCTGTGAAATGTCCAGGGATGTCTTGGCCTGGAGGCATGTTCAAGTGTACACTGTTTGGGAGATCTGAGAGCTTGGCTAGGCCAGGGATTTGGGATGAAAGCTGGGTTGTTATGTAAAGTGGTGCTGTTAGGATGTCTTTCATATCCACATCAAAAGTGACCTGCCTTCATTTGTCATTTATACATTGTTAAGAGTTATTTGTCCTGCAATAAAGTGCTGCAGTTCACATCCAGGACTCTCCACCTTGCTGTCCCTTGGATATACTTTCTCTCTGGGTTAATGCAAGCTCAAGAGCTCTTGCTTTGGAAATAGGAGGTGACGGAGGGAAGGACAAGAATTCCCTCTGAGCATTTCATCCATTGGATACAGCTATATGGGCATTGTTGGTTTGAACTGCTACTTTTGTCCCTTCAAAAACTAATTCCAGCTTCCATGACTCTGTACTGTCACAATGGGTCACAATGTCACTGCTGCTAATGCTAATCTGATAAACCCTTTATTTGCAACCTCCAAGTCACTTGGAGAGGATAATCAGTTCCTGTCCCCAGACAGAAGGCTGAATCCAGAAGTAAGGGAGATGGCCTCCAAATGTGAGTAACAAGCCTCTAAGGACTGTTTGCCCAAAGCCATGAACATGCTGTCATGGTTTGACACTGGGACAATGCCAGTGCCCCCATGAGAATACCCTCTCCCTGGTTTCTGCTGTGAGATGTGACCAGGAATAAGCAAAGCAGGCTCCTACTTAGGAAAAAAATTATTAACTAAACTACAAGGAAAAGGGAGGGAAAGGAAAAAAATACACAAGGAAAATGAAAACTTCACAAATACATCTCCTCCTCCTCCCCACCAAATTCCCAATACAATACATCCCCCAAATCATCGACTCTCAGTCCAGCACCACCCTTCAGAATACTCAATCTTCAGTTCCTCAAGAGGAGAAGGAGTCCTTCTTGTGCCAATGGGGACCTCTTCCTTTCATGTCCAGCACTCTCACCACTGAGCACAGACCAGAGCTGCTTCTAGGGTCAACTTTTAAGGATGCTTCATCCCACTCCAAAAAGGCACAGTCTCAACTTTGGGACATCTGTCCCCCCCCATGTTTTTCACCCCCTGGGGCCGAAGGGTACCCACACCAAACCCTCTTGGTCCTGAGGCATTGCCTCCCCCTAGAATGCAGTCCCTGTATCACAAGGAAACATGGCTCTGTCCATGGCTACACAAAAAGAGTCCAGCATAAGCTACTCCACCATCTCTTCCACCTGAGTTCTTCTCTATTTCTCTCGTGGCCCATTTCCTCTTATCTCATCTATATCTCTCTTCTCATTCAACTCCAGGAGGATTAGCATTTGTAAGGTTTCCACCATCCAAGAAAAGGGTTAAAAATCTGAGGCTCTGTCTGTCCAGAACTCCCATGTCTGCCCAGCCAGGCGGCACCTTCTCGCACCCCCCCCTTCTCCTTCTCAGCCGGCCAACCACAAGCACAGGCTCTCTCTCTGTCTCTCCTGGGTGGGGGGTGGCTGCCCGATGCCTCTCAGTGCTCCTCCACCCTTCCATCCTGCAGGGGCCTTCCCCTCCCTTCTGTCCAGGGCCCGGCCTACCTCACCCGGCCCCATGGCTTCCCCTGGGCCTACCTCACCCGGCCGCATGGCTGCCCCTGGGCCTACCTCACCCTGCCGCATGCCTTCCCCTGGGCCTACCTCACCCAGCCCCATGGCTGCCCCTGGGCCTACCTCACCCGGCCGCATGGCTTCCCCTGGGCCTACCTCACCCAGCCCCATGGCTGCGCCTGGGCCTACCTCACCCGGCCACATGGCTGCCCCTGGGCCTACCTCACCCGGCCACATGGCTGCCCCTGGGCCTACCTCACCCGGCCCCATGGCTGCCCCTGGGCCTACCTTACCCAGCCCCATGGCTTCCCCTGGGCCTACCTCACCTGGCCGCATGGCTTCCCTTGGGCCTACCTCACCCGGCCGCATGGCTTCCCCTGGGCCTACCTCACCTGGCCCCATGGCTGCCCCTGGGCCTACCTCACCTGGCCGCATGGCTTCCCCTGGGCCTACCTCACCCGGCCGCATGGCTTCCCCTGGGCCTACCTCACCTGGCCGCATGGCTTCCTCTGCCCCACCCAGCCTGCAGCCGGGCAGGGCAGCTCTGAACCTTTCACTGACCAGAACCCAAGAGAGCCTCCCAGGGCAGAGCCCTGCTTTAACCCCAAGTGCTCACAGGCAGATCCATGTCCCAATGGCCACATTAGGTGCCAATATTAAAATCTGAACATCCATTGGCCTAACCACAGCATCCCAGAAAACATATTTCCTGTCAAACCACCACACATGCTCAAAGATGCAGAAATACCACTTGGGCAAATGATTCCCCTGCAATAACAAGCTGCTTAAATAAACTATTAGTTACCTAACAGATAAAAGGTGTACTAAGTTCTGTTACACCATTCATTGACCTTTATCATTTGTGAAAACAGCTGCTTTAATGTGTCACTTGCATACTTGTGTCTATGCTAGTAGATTGTGTCTACATATAAATGAAAGGTAAGATAGTTATTGGCTTTTACAAGTTTCTCTGACATTAATAAATGGAATATGGTAAATTTATTACTATCAACTATGAGTTGGTCAGGCTGGAGGCAGAGGCAAAATCAGTGATGTGAAAAGTTGTCCTCTTTTGTCTCTCAGAGAACCAGGATTAGTTGAGCTGACAAAAGATAAACAGGCAGATGGCACCTTATGGAGGGCAAAGCACACTGTCAAAGCACGTAAGACCATCTGCCCTGGGGTTGGTTTGGCTTGGCACCCATTACAACAATAATTTAGAGCAGAAGATGAGAAAATCAAATTGTAAAGACAGAAAAATAATTGTTGGGGCTCTCAATTTTTCTTATTCATATGACAGGTAGAAGATTCTAAGCTTTCTTCTGCAAAATCCTGGAAAACATGTGGAAGGTATTTGCCTTGTACAAACATGTTTGTTACACATATGCGGACAGTGTGGTCCTAGAGCACAAAGTGTTCCTAAATAATAGAGAAATTATACAGCTTCCTTGGAAAACAAGAAAGCTAAGGCAGCACAGGTGGTGCCTAGAAATCCTCCATTAGGATGTGCAGCAATTTCATTGTGCAAACTCTGCTCAGAACTGCTAGGTCACCAGCACTAGCTTCTTCCCAGCTCCGATGCCAGATCCATGTCCACTACCTCAAGATGGCTAAACTAGATAGCTAAGATAGCTAAACTCTGTTGCCAAAAGGTTTGTATAATTTAGAAATTTGACATAACTATTGAGGTAGTTAGTGATGTATTGGTTCTATTCTTGTGAAAAAATTTGCTCTGCTTCTTTCTTTGTACAAGAATTACTGCATAGCATGGTCAAATACCTTTGTATAATAAGGCACATCATGGTTGCATCTTTATTCCTTCTTGTATTCTAGATGACTACAGGAGTTTTCTGATTGTCTTGCCTAAATCTTTCATCAACCTTTCTTTGAAGGCAAGTGAAAGCTTGTGGTCAGATTCAGGATTTCAAATGTGTTTTCCAATTTTTCTTAGGGGATGTTTTACAGTAATTAATTCTTATTACTGGTTCATTAAGAAATTTTATGGCTACCATGATATAAA